TGAGGGTACTATGTAGTGTACGTTCCTCTGGTCACACACACACACACACACACACACAGGCCCACAGACATGCATACCCACAGAGACATGTAAATAACCACAGATACCCACATAAATACAGATGCACACACAATTATTGGCTGATTGCAATCAGGCTGCACACATACATGGCCACACATGGACACTGAGGTGAGCTGCTGACATGTGACTGTGTGGTACCACATGCGTGCAGCTCGGATGGTAAGTAGCATCCACAGGCAAGGGCCCCCCTGTGGCCTCAGAGGAGCCCTGATGTCCACATGGAGTGAGGAAGAGGAGTGTGAGGCTGGGGAGAGAGGACCCCAGCTGGGAGGATTTGGGCTCACACATAGCCTCATCCCACAACACACATGCACACATGAGCACACATACCAGGGGAAATGTGCTTTTTTTTCTGCTCTCCTCCTATTGCCTTGGATCAGATCAGAGATGCTAGAAGTCAGGGAACAAACGTACTGGAGTACGAGCCTGCGTGACTGGCGTTAGGGAGCACTAGCTGGTGGGAAGAACCTCACCTGTGGAAACCTGTTCCACCACTTCCTAGCTGCATGGCCTTTAACAAATTATCCAATCTTTCTCACCTTCCATTTCCGCATCTGAGAGATGGGCATGATAATAGTCCTTACCTCCTAGGGCTGTTGGGAGGATTGATGGAGACGTCTGATGTCTCTGAGGCACTTAATAAATTGTTGTTGTTATTAATTCATTCATCTGACCCTCATCTCCTGATCCTGCCTCTCTACCAGTGCCAGTGATTTGGGCTGGGCTGAGGAGTCCAGAAATGCGTGAGATACACTCTCTGCCCTCATGGAGCTCAGTCTAATTGGGGAGATGGAAGTGTCATCACCCTACTTTGATCCAGGTGCTGGAATTTAGAAAATCCACCTGAGGTGTGTTGTGTGGTGAACTAGGGCTCTGTGTGTTCAGTAAATGGTAGCTAGTATTATTCTTGTTGTTGTTGTCATCATCATTTCTATGACCTGAGCTTCGTTATCCGGAGCCGGGAGAGGGGACAGATGCCTTCTTAGGGACAAGTTGGGGAAGGCCCTATTTCCTAGGGGGTGTCAGTTGAACTAGGCCTTGATGGAGAGGAGAATTTGTCAGGCAAAGGAGGAGAAAGGGAAAGGTGTTTGAGGAGAGCCCTGCAGGGGCAAAGGCAAGAGGGAGTGGCAGGTAATCTGATAGTGCCATGCTGGGGAGGGGAGGGCCTCGGGCTGGAGGAGGGGCCGGGGGCCACACTGGGAAGGTCTTGGAGACCTTTAGAGGGCCCATGGGCTGGGGCAGTTGTGGGGCTGAGGGGGGTGCCTCTCCTGGCTTCCGTTAATAAAGACTTGTCATGCATCAAAAACTGGGAGATCAGCAATTATTAAGTCAGTTAAAATGTCAGTTACCACATTAACAGCAGCGAGCTTTTAAGCAAAAAAGTCTCTGAGTTTGGTGGGGGAGGGGGATCCAGCCCAGCAGGTGAGGGGAAGGGATGGATAAAATTACTTCTACTCTGTTCTCTCTTCCCCACCTGGAGCTTGTGACACATTTTGGAGCCTGGCCTCATCCATTGGAACACAAAGATAACCCTCCCCATCTCTGTCCTCAAAACAGGAAAGAAAGAAAGAATATGAATGTGAAAATCGCCTGTAATCCCGTGTGCTATCTCCTAGAGATAACCTCTGTTAATATTTCAGGGTACGACCATCCAGACTTTTTTCTATGCATATTTATACATCCATTACAAAGATGGGATCACATCATGCATACTGTACCTATTTCTCCCACTCAACAATATATTGTGAGCATCAGCACATACAGATGCGCATCATTGTTTTAAACCGTGGCGCTGTATTCCGTTGCGGGCACGACTGTCCCCTCGTTTACTGAACTCGCGATGGACAGTGAGGTTTCCAGTTGTTTGCCCTCGTAAGCAGAGCTGTGGTAAATATTCCTGTACACATATCTCTGCATCCTTGAAGGATAAATTTCTGGAAATGGAATTGTTGAGTCAAATGATGCTCTCTCTAAAGGCTGTTGGTGCAGGGACTAAAGAGCTCTTTTGTCAGAGAGGTAGGAGAAGGACCATTTTCCACTCCCCTAGATAACCCTGGGTAATCATCTTTCTTCCTATTTGCTAACCTGATTGGTGAAAAATGGTATCTTACTGTTTCTATTTTTATTTTTTTGGTTACAAGTAAGGCTGAGCTTTTTGTCCTCTGTCAGACGGCTATTTGTGTTTCTTCCGTGAGACGTTGTCTCCTCATTTACTTAGCCCATCTTTTATCAAGGAGACCATCCTTTTTGTTTCTATATAAGAGCTCTTTATATATTATGGATATTCTCTTTTGTTTTTATTTGTGCTATTTATTCTATCAATTTTGCTATGGCGTATACATGGTAGATATTTTTCCAGGTTTGTTATTTCCCTTTTAGCTTTGTTAACAGTACATTCTGTTATGCTAAAGGTTAAGCACTTGGTGTTGCATGTCTATCATTCTCTTCTCTTAGGTGTCTGCTTTTGGGGCCGTGTTTATGGTGCAGAGTGGGCTTCTGTGGGTGACTGTTGTTGGTAGGTGTCATGTGTGAATGCCGACTCAGAAATCTGTAAACCCAGCCCTCAGCTGTTGACTCGTACATCCAACTGCCAGTTCAGCACTCTTGCTTGGAAGTCGGATCCATATCTCACACTTACCATGTCTCCCAAAAACCTTGATTTCCAGTCCCCCATCCGCACACCCGCTTCTCCTCCAGGGCTCCTGATTCAGGAAAAGATCCATCTTCACTCGGTTGCTCAGGCCAAAAGCCTGAGTCATCCTTTTTTGCCCTCTTTTCCTCACATCTCATAACTAACCCATCAGCAATCATGTCGACCCTACCTTCAAACTGTGTCCTGAACCTGACCCTTCCCACCACCTCCACCCCTGCCACCCTACTGGAAGGCGCCTGGTGGCCAGGCCTTCTGCAGTGGCCTGGCCTTTGCTCGACACTCTGTGGTCTGTTCTCCACACAGCAGTCAAAGTGAGCTTTTAACTACAAATCCTATCATGTTACTCCCCCCGTCCAAGACCCTCCAGGAGCTTCCATTTCACTCTGGATAAAACGCAGACTCCTCACAGTGCGCCATGAAGCCCCCCAGGATCTGGCCCCTCCTCTCCCACCAACGTCACCTCCCCCACTCGCTCCCTCCCTCTCTGTGCTCCAGCTACCCTGGTTTTCTTGCTGTTCCACACACATACCAAGCTTGTTCATTGTTGTTCTCCTCCTTGCTGTTCCTTCTGCCTGGAAAGCCTTTCCCCCAGAGCCTCGCATGGCTTACTTCAGATCCCAGAGAGCCCTTTCAGGACCACACATTCTAAAATAACCTCTTTTCCTCTTGTTATTCTCCTCTTCTGCCTTATTTTTCTTCAGAACACTCATTATACATATTTATGTCTTGTTTTATAGCCCTCCTCCCTTGGAATGTAAATTGTATGAAGGCAAGGACTTTGTTTGGTACTTAGTAGGTGGGTGCTTAATGCATGTTTGTCGAATGAATATGTGTGATATACGAACGTGTGTGAGTATAATGTTTGTGTGGAGGTATATCTGCTGCATGGATAGACATCTGTGAGAGTGTCTGTGTGTGGAACTGTGGGAATAATGACATTGAATTTGTGAATGTGGATGAGTTTGTGTGTGAATGTGACTGCTTCTGTGAATGTCTTGCAGAGAATGTCTGCGTATGTGCGTTTGTGCATGAAACACGTGTGCTTGTCTGCATATGTGTGTGCGCGCTCTGTGGCTGTTTGGTTACGTATAGCCTGTGTCTATTTCAGTGAGGGTGGGGAGCTGAAACACCTGGGCACGTTCTTTCTCTTATCAAATGGACCTGCCATTGCCCCGAACTTCCCCTTCCCACTCCCACACCCGGGAAACACATGTGTGTTTCCTGCAAACATGGGACAACATTCTAAAAATGACATTTCAGGTCGATACGTGGTGGGTGCTCAGAGGACTGTGAGGGTCTGGAGGAGACCTGAGGCTGACGGGACCCTGGCAGCCTCGCGCTGCTCTGAGCCATCTCAGTGGGAGGGCTGTGTTCTCTGATGAATTGACCACAAAGAATGAGGCTGAAGCAATGCAGGCGGGGCAGGATTGGCTGTGTGGCCTCAATGTGTCCCAGCTCTTTAAGCCTCAGTAGACTCATCTGTAAATGGGGTTCATTGTTCTTGGCCTTCTTGCTGCTTGGGAATATGGTGAGAATAGAGGGAGGTAATGGCAGTGAATGTAGAACAGTCATGACAATAGTGTTCTTATGTCTGTGCAGAACATTAGGGTTTTAATCCACTATCTGATCAGCGTGAATGCCTCAGTGTCCCTAACCTAGCTCTGGACTTGGCCCCACGTGGGCCTCAGTGGGGGTTTGTTGGATTAGTAATAAGCGTGTGAGTGAATTGATGAATGGATAAATGAGCAGGTGCCTGGGTGACTAAGTGAAGAGATGATGCATAAAGCAGCCAGTGGATTGACATTCCCAATGACCGACATTTTTGAGCACATACCATGTGCCAGGCCCTATTGAAAGGCTTTTCTTAACCCTTGCAACAGCCCCAGAGATAAGACTATTATTAACCCCATTTTGCAGATGGAGAAACTGAGGGCCAGAGAAGTGATATGACTTGCCCAAAGCCACAAAGCTCCTAAGTGGCAGAGTTGGGATTCCAGCCCAGGCAGTGTGACTCCAGAGCGGAGCTGCATTAAACCCTTCACAAGTCCCGCTGAGTGAACCTGTGAATGAGTCGGTGAATGAATGAGTAAATGCAGGAACCCTCACACTCTGAGCTGTGGGCAAGACAGGCCACTTTCTGATGGGGAGGCAGAAGCTCTGGGGGTGAGGTGGGCATCCAAGATCTGGGCCGGGGGCGGTGTCTCCCCCAGGGTAGAGTGTGACGCCCTGCCTCCTGTCCCCTCTCCCTCTGCCCTGTCTGCAGGCGCATGCCGCGATGCAGCACTACGGGGTGAACGGCTACTCGCTGCACGCCATGAACTCGCTCAGTGCCATGTACAACCTGCACCAGCAGGCGGCCCAGCAGGCCCAGCACGCCCCCGACTACCGGCCGTCGGTGCATGCGCTTACGCTGGCTGAGCGCCTGGCTGGTAAGGGCCGTGGGGATGGGCCCCTGGGGACAGGATTATGGAGGCTCGGGGGGAGGGGGGCAGGAGAGGTCTTGGGGAGGTGGCTCTGGAACACTAAGATAGGAGGGAGCTTTGGCAAAGTACCCAGGTCACTTAGCAACACAGAGAAATGTCAGTTCAAATCTCTGGGTGACTATCTGGAGCAGCCCTTGTTTGCCAGCACTGTGCTGGGCACTGGAGCTGCCCTGTGCCTTCAAATTTCCCTAACAGCTCTGTGTGTGTGTGGTGGGGGGTCCATTGGCCTATCTCGCAGACGAAGAGACTGAGTAGGAGGGTAAGGGACTAGCCCAGGGTATTACAGCTAGGAAGTTGTGGGAGTGCCCAGGAAAGGCTATTTTAGGCATGGGGAGTCATATAAATAGTAATGGCTCCCACGTTATGAACACCACTTATGTGCCAGGCCCCGTGGCAGGCTCTGTGCAGCAAACCATTCAACCTCGAGAAGGAGAGGTTCTTATCTCCATCTTGTGAACAAGGAAACTGAGGCTCAGGTTAAATCGAGGCAGGGGTGGGGCAGGGGATTGGAATGTGACATTATGGCTAAAAATATGGGCTTCGAAGTCACAGACTTGCAGTCACTGCAGGGGCTGCCCACTCACCTCTCTTCGCTGTGCCTCAATTTCCCCCTTTATAAACAGGGAGCAATGGCAGTGCCCACCCCATAGGATGGTTTGGGGGTTACTTGAGATAACATATGCGAAGTATTCAGCAGGGACTGGTAGGTGCTCAGAGGTCGTATCACCCAAGTCCCAAGGTAGGTGTCCATGAGGGGGCTGCAGCCAGGTCCCCCCACTCCTGGTTCATTGTGGCTCTGCCACAGCAGCCTCCCCGTGGGTGTGGGAGGGACTTGATGGCATAAGTGGGGAGTGTGGTTTCCTGGGAGGTGATGCCACCCACCCCATCCTGTCCCGGGCCAAACCTTGAGAAGCTGGTGAACCTGTGCCAGGCTGTCCTCAGAGGACTTCAGGGCACACCCAGGGAGACCAGGTGCCCATAAACCCATGTGAGGGCACAGCAGGAGAAATGTGGCCAGGATAGTGGTGGGGCAGCTCAGAGCAGCATCATCTGCTGGTGTAGTCAGAGGGGGCTTCCTGGAGGCTGTGGAGGAAGAGCCAGGCCTTAAAAGGACAAGGAGTGGACTAGTGTGAGCAAAGGCACAAACGTGATTTGGGGTATGAGGACCCTGCCTGGGTGGAGGTGCCGGCCTGGAAGGGAGGGTGGAGCAGCTTCTCCCACTCCTTTAGACCCTGCCAGGCCTCTGGGCAGGGCTCGGTGGGTAAAACTGAGGCCTCGGTCACCTTCTGTAGATCAGCTTGGGGGAACTAGTGTGGGAATGCAGGTACAGTCCTGCCCCGGCTACGGCTGCTTCTCTGGTTTGGAGTGCATCCCATGGGCTCAGCCTGGTGGTGACACCAGCTCCTGACCGTATTCTTGACCCAGAGAGGAGTCAGGGATGGAATGCTTACTTCTGCTGGCTGGGGCAGAGGCACTGGAATATTCAGCACTCCACCCCAGTTCTCTAATTCTGAAGAAGGAGGGACATGAGTTCTGGGTGGGCCTTTGTACGGAGGCCCTGCCTTCTAGCAGGAGGTGCAGCTGATGATGCAGCCCGGCCTCCCCTGGGACCACCCCTCTCCGGGCCCTGGAGCCAGCAGCAGGACACTAAGCTGCTGCTCCCTCAACCAGGCTTCGGCTGACAGGGGTCCCCACTCCCTCCTGCTCCAGGGTGACCAGCGTGAGCTCGGGGCTCAGTCTGGGCTGGGATCAGCGCCCGTCATAAGGGGTTCAGGGCTCCCTCTGTAAATGGAAGAGGCAGCAGCCCACAGTCTGAGGTTTCCTAGACACCCAGTTGCCTCCTTCCTCGTCTAGAGTGTTGTGGATGATTCTCTGTCCCTGGAGTCTGACATAGACTATGCAGAGGCTGAGGCAGCTCGGCTTCCCTTCTGCATAGACAGTCCAGGATCCACTTATGGGTGAGGGGAGGCAGGGAGAGAGAGGTTACTGTCCATCCTCTAGGGGCTAGTCAAGCAGAAGGGCTGGAGGCTAGACACTAGCCCTGGGTAGGCGTCTGTCCAGGGTGGTTCCATGTTACTGGCATGTGGGCAGGACCGTGGAATCAATGACCCACCAGCCCTGTCTCCCCTCCAAGCTTGTGGTCGTTCGCACCTGGCCTCTTTGTTCTTTCCTCCTTGAGGAAGCAGCCAGAAGGGTCAAGACTGGATGCAACAAGCCTTTCCTGTGCTCTGAGGGCCCTGCCAGAGCCAGGCTTTCTGTTGCGGAGACAGAAGAGCAGGAGCCTCAGGTCCTGCCATCAGAGACTCACGGGCCAATCCGGATGAGGAGATTCATCCCCAGAGGACATAGAATCAAGTGCCAATGACTTCTGTCTACCCAGTCAGACCTCTTCTGACTAGACCTTGCAGATAAGTCCCAGCTCACAGCCTGGCTTCTCACGGTCAGGGGCCAGTATTCTGTTGGCATCCAGAGTCTAAGGCTCATAGGATATTAGAACCTTTGTGACATGGATTTAGAGATTATTAGCATCATATAACCTCAGAATGTTATATTCATAGTACCCTAGGACTTTAAGAATCATAGGGCAATGCCTACCCACCTACCCACCCACCCCCAAACCAAATAAGGAAGACCCCCCCCTTAATCACATTCCTAACAGGTGTTCATGGAGATGATTTAGATCTCTGTGGTCCTGATGGCGAATGAAGAGATGAAGAGATCTTGATAATCCAGCCATGTGGGGAGGGGACGGGTGATTTCCAAAGGGAAAGGGCCAGGGTCCAGCTCTGGCTGGAGTCTGGGTGTCTGCAGTGGGTCAGAACAGGGTAAAATTCGAAACCTATTTCGCTTAATTAAATGGGCCCCCTCTCCTTGCCCTCCAACGGCTGTACATTTCAAGACATCATCTTGGAGGCCCGCTATGGCTCCCAGCATCGCAAACAGCGTCGCAGCCGCACCGCGTTCACGGCTCAGCAGCTCGAGGCCCTGGAAAAGACCTTCCAGAAGACCCACTACCCAGACGTGGTGATGCGTGAGAGGCTGGCCATGTGCACCAACCTGCCTGAGGCCCGGGTGCAGGTAGGGCCCTGCTCCTCTAATTAGGCCTTGCAGACAAGCACCAGCCCATCTTGGCTTCCCATTGTTCAGGAGCCAGCATTTCAGCCGTCAGTGCCAAAGTGCAACTGATGTCTCCACGAATGCCATCAGTGAGAGGAGGGAAGTTTGGGAAGGGACCGGGGTGTGTGTTTCCTGGAGTGGTGGGGGCAGTGTTACCCTGTCCATCCCCTCCCGGCGCACCAAGCTCCACAACTCCACTTCTCTTCTTGCTGCTCCTCCTGCTCCTCTCCCTGCCTGCAGGTGTGGTTCAAGAACCGCAGGGCTAAGTTCCGGAAAAAGCAGCGCAGCCTGCAGAAGGAGCAGCTCCAGAAGCAGAAGGAGGCTGAGGGCTCCCATGGGGAAGGCAAGACCGAGGCCCCAACCCCAGACACCCAGCTGGAGACAGACCAGCCCCCCAGCCTGCACAGTGGCGACCCCCCAGCTGAGCTTCACCTGAGCCTGTCTGAGCAATCGGCCAGTGAGTCAGCCCCCGAGGACCAGCTGGACCGGGAGGAGGACCCCCGGGCAGGGGCCGAGGATCCCAAAACTGAGAAGAGCCCTGGGGCTGAGAGCAAGGGGCTGGGCTGCAAGAGGGGCAGCCCCAAGGCAGGTGAGGCTTGGCAGGTGCTATGGGTCCTGTGGCCCAACCCAGGGGATGGCCAGGTCCAGAGGGACAGGGGCTTGGGTATGCGAGGAGGGTCAGAGCAGGGGGTAGAGTCAGCCGTTAACACACGGCAGTCAGACATGACGCATTACAAAGGACTTCGCCATAGCAGGCCTGGCCAGGTGGTCATTTGTTAGATGGTGAATCCTGGGAAGGTTTTGGGGGTTCTGGGGCTGGCTGGCAGGGGAGGGGTACTTGGGGAGCTCAGGGCAAAGGCTATTCATCAACCATTATGGAAATATTCCAGTATTTTAACCACTGGTACAGACGTATCAGTGCCTAAATACCGATACCAGAGGTTCCCACACGCAGCAGAGACTCGGAGCTGTGTTTTTGCAGGAACAGAGCTGTGGCATGAGGCATATCTCAGACATAAACCCTGAGCCCGGGCAGGGAGGGGATGGGGCTGAGAGCTGGAGGAGGATGGGAGCCATGGACTAGAGAGGGGATGGGGAGCAGAGAGCCCTTGGAAAGGCAAGGGGTCTCCCCAGGAAGTCAGAAATGGGGGCTTTGGCAGGGTCCCTGGGGCTCCTGCAGGAACCCTCCCTCCCAGGATTCTGAGGGATGCTTCAGGGGCTGCCCTGGCTGAGATGGGTGGATATGGTTTCAGCCAAAGCCTGTTTTGTCTGCAGTGCCAAGGGGATGGGAAGGCTGAGGCGGCCCCTGCTGGCGAGCCACTGCCCTTGTCCTGAGTCCTTGGTACCTGATTTTCTGCTTGCAGATTCCCCAGGCAGCCTGGCCCTGGCTCCTGCAGCCCCTGGGGGCGGCCTCCTGGGCCCCTCCCACTCTTACTCCTCATCCCCGCTGAGCCTCTTCCGTCTGCAGGAGCAATTCCGCCAGCACATGGCGGCCACCAACAACCTGGTGCACTACTCATCCTTCGAAGTGGGGGGCCCGGCCCCCGCTGCTGCCGCTGCCGCCGCCGCCGTGCCCTACCTGGGCGTCAACATGGCCCCGCTGGGCTCACTGCACTGCCAGTCCTATTACCAGTCCCTGTCAGCAGCCGCCGCTGCCCACCAGGGTGTGTGGGGGGCCCCACTGCTGCCTGCGCCCCCAGCAGGCCTGGCACCTGCCTCGGCTGCCCTGAACAGTAAAACCACGAGCATCGAGAACCTGCGGCTTCGGGCCAAGCAGCACGCGGCCTCTCTGGGACTCGATACACTGCCCAACTGACTGCTGGCCTCCAGCCCAGCCAGGGGTCTTGGGGCCACCCTCCCAGCCCATGGTTATCCCCAGCCGGCTCTCAAGGAGTTAACCCTATGAGCCCAGGGATCCTGGGCCTGGAGTCCTGCCCCCATGCCCTCCCCAGAGCCCTAGCCCTAGGGGAGGCCCACACCTGCACATCCTCTGCATGGCCCTGCTTGGATCCCCAGGAGGCTGATGGGGAGGAGGGGAGTGGCTGGAGGGGGCCAGGCTTTCCACAGGGGAGTGAGAGGCTCTCACCGGCTAGATCCCCACCTCCGTGTCACCTCCTCCCCTCCTTTCCCTCCCTCCCCGTCTGGTCTGCCCCTAGTAAGTTGCTGTGTGGAATGTGAGATATAACTATACATATATAAAGCTATATTTTCAGGCCCCAGCCTGTCCCAGGCCCCTGCCCCGCTCCTTTTCCACTGCCGCCCTGGCCTCCACCGCAGCTTCTGCCTCTCACTCTGGCTCTCCCTTCTCTCTGTCTCTCTCTCCCCTTCCCTTCTTCCCTGACCTCCCTCTCCCTGCCTCTATCCTGTTTCCTGCCCCTCTCTCCCTGGCCTCTGTCTTCCCCACTCTGGATCTTTCCCCCATGTCTCTTCTCCCTGCCTCAGCTTGCTTTCTTTGGTGCTGGTTGTGTTAGTGTCGTCAATTCCCAAGCAATGTTTTGTTTGGGGTTGTGGCTTTTTAGTTTTAGTAATTTTGCTTCTTGCTGTCCCTCTCCTGCTTCTTCTCTGCCTGCCTGTCTCCTCCCCGCACCGGTACCCTCTCTCTGAATTTGTCCCTTTCCATACTCAAGAGAAGTGATAAGGTCCTGGCTGGAGACCCTGTGGCCACTGGAGCTGCAGGCAGGAGGTGGCACTTGTCCCCCACCCACCCTGCCCTGGCCTGGCCTCTAGAAGGTGTGGTGGACACATTCTCTTTTCTCTCTTCTCAGCTGTGAGGCCAGGGGAGGGGAGGCAGGAGTCGGATGGGGCAGGCAGTGGATGGCAGCACCCTGCCTGTAAGACCTCCAGGATGGGGCCTGCTGCCAGCGTGCATCCAGGATGGACCACAGGGCTCCAGCCCTCTCTCTGGTGCGGGAGGCAGCAGGGGAGCGGTGCTCTTCAGGGCAGAGCAGCAGGTGCTCCTCTCCCGCAGCTGGCCTCCCGGTCCAACAGGGAGTGTCTGTTGCAGGCCCGCCTTGAACCAGGAAGGAAGGTTGAACTCCAGCTCCTGATCCCAGTGAGGGCGACAGGCAGCACTGTGGAGTCTCGGGCTTCTGTCGGTGTCCTGTCCTAGGGCCACCTGTTGAAGGAGAGGCTTCTGTCCAGCTAGTCACGGGTACAGCAGGATGTGTTCTTGCTTATGGCCAGGGATCCAGCTCAGCAGAATCCCTTTCAAAGCGGTGTGACCTTGAGTCAGCCCAAAGCCTCTCTGGGCCCGTTTCCCCATCTGGATTAGATGGCCTGTGACATCCTGTCCAGCTCTAACATTCTGCATGTCTGTGTTCACAACCTTGCAGGGCAGAAGTTTTTAGTTAAACTAACAACCACCACAAAAAGGTTCTCAAAAGCACAATGTATGAATTAGAAAATTACCCTTGCCTTGCTGTGGAGCAGTGGGTGTTGCTCACACAAGCCTCTCCGAGGGCATGGCCACAGTCTCTGGGCCTCAGTTTCCTAATAAGTATAATGGGTCCTTTCTAGCTGAGACAATCTGGATTTGATCTTGCTTTTCTTGAGTTCCAGTGCCAGCCTCTGTGGTCCATCCATCTCCATGTCTTCACATGGTCTCAGGCCTTCAGGGCAGGGGGAGGGGGATGGCTTGCACAGATTCCGGATCATGATCCCCAACCCTCTGTGGCTCACCACTGAACCTTCCACCCTTTGCTTAGAGAAGTTGCATCTGAAAACTGGGTAAAGATTCCTAAGGCTTGTCTCCCTTCCCGGTGCTAAGAGAGGGGGGTCTATTGGCGCTCCGGTAGGATTGGTTTGCAGAGCCGTGGATGCCCATCATCTTTGGAGGTCCATCTAGGTTGGGGCAGATGGAGAAGGCTTTAGATGGGAAAAAAGTGAGGGAGATAGTAACCTGGGCCAGGAAAACTATTTGAACATAGCAATGGAGTGAGATTAAGTGGACAATGGGGAAGGGGTGGCAGGCCTCATGAGAGGGAGGCTGAGGGCCTTGAGTTCAGGCTAAAGACCTTACCTAGATAAGCAGGTGAGGGTTTCTGAACAGGGGGATCAGGTGAACCGGGATCTGGTATCTGGGATTTGGAAGGTGAGTCCAACAGCCACAAGAGCATCAGAGAAGGAGAGACTTAGGCAGGGGGACGGGAGGGTGGTGGAGACTGTAAGAGACAGAAGTGATTTTTGGTTTGTCCTCTGGGATCAGCTCCAGAAAGGTCTGCTTCTGAAACTAAAACAATCTCATCTAGACCAGGCCTGGGGACTGAAGCTTTCTGCATGTCCCTGGATGCAAATGACTGTTACTGGGCCTTGGAATCCAACAGCTCCAGACCTCACCACCTCCTCCAGGAAGCCTCCTTTGTCCTCCTAAAAGGCAAGTCTGTCCCAGAGTCATGGCTGGAGCCAGGCCCACCTCAGGCTCAGCCCCACTTCCCTCAGCTCTGTCAACACTTCCTCATTTAATTGACCCAATTGCACCAGCCCAGAGAAGGCAAGGAAAGTATATGGGGTCCCCACCCGCTGGGCGGATCTCAGCCTCTCTTAGGGGACCAGCCTCAGTTACTGAGAGCAGCTAGAGAGCAAGAGGAGGGTGTGCCTGGCATCTCCTATGGGAGCAGAGGGTGTGGGCTTGGGGTGGGCCCACCATACCTGAGGCTGAACCTGAAGCCTAGCTGGGCCTGCTGGTCACCCTGAGGCTCTGACTGTCCCTTCCAGGAAAGCCTCGCTCCTTCCCTCTCCCTCCTATCTGAGGTCTCCATTTCCCTGCTTCCTCACTTCCCCAGAGCATGCCCAGGAGCCTGGGCTCCCACTCGGACTCTGCAGCCAGCCGGCCATACAGACTGCTTTCCAAACCAGCTGTTTTGTGACCATTTGTGCTTAGAAGTCGTGCCAGCTGTGGCAAAAACACTGTGTACCGTATTTATTTATTCTGTTAGTTGAAAAAACAAGACTCACACCTCCTTCTCCCCTGCCCCAACCCCTGCGTAGTACAGCATGACACCCTGTCCCGTGTATCTGTCCGTCTGTCTGTCTGACTTCCTGTGACGTTGTGACCTGTTCTCTGTCCTACTTGGCTAATAAAAGAGAATCTGGCAGCACAGTGCTCGGTCCAGCTTCATTCCCAGAGATGCCCGCAGTGTGCTGAGTAGGAGCTGTCTCGAGGTCTGCTCACTGCCTGTCAAGCACTGTGGCCGGTGGGGGAGGAGGCAGGCCTGACTCATGATTGGCCACTCCCACGCCGGCCTCGTAGCTCACTCCATGGCCCTTACCGATCTATGGCTGGTGTGCCACTCTGGAGTGGTCATGGGGAGCAGGGGGACCAGGGTGGGGAAGGGTTCTATCTCCTCTCAGCTGCTTGGACCTCACCCAGGCACATGTGGCAGGGCAGCCTGTGGCAGGACACCTCGGGTATTCAGGGTAGCCTGGGCGATGGGTCTGTAGGATGGAGAGGGGCAGGGGATTCTGTGGGGAAGAGCAAGTGAGCTAGGGCCAAAGGGGAGGGACAGGAAGGCACATTTGGATCTAAAGTCAGAGCTGTTCTCCAATGGGATGGTGGCCTCTGGAGGGAGTGAGCTCTTTGTCCTCAGAGATGAGCAAGCACAGGATGAAGAAGGGATTTCTGCTATGGGTGGCAGGATGGATTACAGATTTATGTGGGTCCTTCCAGCTCAGGGTGAGGCGCACATGTGTGTGTGTGTGTGTGTGTGTTATAGCCTATGAGTCTATATGTAGATATGAGAACCTGTGCCACGAATTCCTAAGGGTCTGTTTGCATTTGTGTATGTGTGTGTGTGTGCTTGTGCATGAGCAAGAGACAGAGGGAGACTTTGAGACTGAGTATATAGGCAATAAGTGCAGAAAAAGTACACAACTAAGAAGTTCGTCTCGCTGTGAAATCTTGGTCCACTCTGCTGCATTTCAAGAAAAAGAGGACAGCCCCTACTCAGCCTCCACCGCCCTTCCCTGGGCTTCCAGAGCGTCTGCACAGGCCTCCTGAGCGAGAGGGGTGGTACAAGCTTGGGGCTGGGGTTTGGGGGCAGTGAGAGTCCCCTCTGGGGATTTCCTGGTAGGAGAACCCCAGCAGGACTGAATAGGGTGCAGGGAGCTGCCTGCTGGGCTTCCCAGGGGCGGACCCTGACCTCCCCGTTTCCCAGGTCGCTAGGAGACACATTCTTCTCTCCCCAGTGGGGCTGAGGATTAGGGTGGGGAGCACCCCCCTTCACCCTGCCTTCCCGCCTCCCTCGGAGGGGCTGGCAGATCAAATGTCTCCCAAATCTCCCACTGCTCCCTCCCAGACCTGAGCCACCACGTGCCTCCTACATACCTCAGCCCCATGGAACACATCTTCCCTGGCCCTAGTAACCCTGCAGTTCGAATCACTCGTCCACTCAGCACTTATTGAGCATCTGCTGTATGCCTGGCCCTGTGCTGGGTGCTGGGTACATAGAAGCAAGTAAGGAAGACCTGGTCCCTGCTCTCAAGACAGTTACGACACAGGGTGATGTGGGATTCAAAAAATAGAGAAGTATCGGGGCCGGCCCAGTGGCACAGCGGTTAAGTGCGCATGTTCTGCTTTGGTGGCCCGGGGTTCATCGGTTCGGATCCTGGGTGCGGACATGGCACCGCTTGGCAAGCCATGCTGTGGCAGGCGTCCCACATATAAAGTAGAGGAAGATGGGCATGGATGTCAGCTCAGGGCCAGTCTTCCTCAGCAAAAAGAGGAGGATTGGTGGCAGATGTTAGCTCAGGGCTAATCTTCCTCAAAAAAATAAAGAAAGAAAGAACTATGGGAGTACAGAGGAGGAGTCCCTAGCTCAGCCTGGGGAGGCCAGGAAGGCCCCTTGGGAGGGAGACTTTTCGGCTGAGTCACAGGTCTAGTATGCACCAGGAGGGCAAGAGAGAAGGGTGTCCTGAAGAGGCACAGCACCCCTAGAGCTGCAGGACCTAGCCGGTGGGGGAGCCCTGAACCCTGAGGAGCAGGGGGCCTGTCTGGGTGGGGCTTGAGGATGGTGCGGGGTAGTGTCAGGGGCTGAGGATGGAGAGGGAAGCTGGGAGCTCGGACTCAAGCCCAAGGGCTGTGGGGGGCACTGGAAGCTCTTCCCAGTGGGGGAGTGGGGCGATGAGACTAGTTTTAGTAAATCCTGCCCCCCATACCTTTGCTGCATGAGGAGGCAAGGAGACCAGAGAGGGAGCCGTTGTCATGTCCTGTTGAGAGGAGGGTGGCATCGATGTGGCCTGGGGGAGAGGGGAAGGGCGGAGGGGTCACATTGATGAGAGATTTGGGAAGTAGCATTACTTTGGTGACTGCAGGCATGGAGGGGCAAGGGTGCCCCTGAGTCTTTGGCTCAGCAACAGGTAGATGGGGACCCTGGGGCTGAGGTGGGAGTGGAGGCGTGAGCCTGAGCTCATTGGAGGAGCCTTCAGTTTATTCAAGGGAAGATGTTGGGATGTACCGGGTCACAGCTCAAGAGAGGGGTCTGTCTGCACTGACAACTTAGGCTTTATTTAACACATACTTATATAGCACTTTCTCTGTGCCTGGCACTTGACAAACATGAAGTCACTTAATCCTCACACAACCCTATGAAGTAGGTACTATTATCCCCATTTTACAGATGAGGAAACCGAGGCACGGAAAGGCTAAATAACTTGCCCATGACCACACAGTAGCAGTAGGTGAACCAAGGTATGAAGCTGGCTCACCTCAGAATCCACACTCTTAACCTTGGTGGTTGTCAACAGAGATGTGGCGAATGAGATCACACAGGGAGACACTGACAAGGGGCCTCAGGGAAACACTGACTATGAAGCAAAGAAGATTCTATGATGGAGTTGGGACCAGCTACTCTCCCAGCGTGTGGTTTACTGTGGGCACATAACTGCCCCTCTGGTCCTCAGTTTCCTCTTCTGTTGAATGGGAATCTTTAACCATGTCCAGCCTGCTTCCTGGGAAGCTAAGATGAGGTAGAGGAGACGGGCTAGGAGGAGGCTGAGGGGCTGAGTGGCCTTGTGCCCAGCACACAGTAGGTGCGCAGACTGCGCATGGTGGGTGAGCTGAGAAAGGCAGGGGCGCTCCCTGAAGCTTCTCCCCAAATCCTCCCTTTCTTAGGCCTTGGCCCCAGTGTTCTTTCAGTCCAGGTGTCTAGTTCCTTAGGGGCCCTTGTGGAAGGGGCACCTGCTGAGAGGGTCCTAGGGCCAGTGGGGCTGGGTCCGCCCCTCCTGCCTCTTTCTCACAGAGCTGCCTCGGGCTGGACCCCACCCCCCAACCCCCATCTCTCACTCTCCTCTTCCTTCTGGGAAAGCTGATTAAGAGGAGGCCTCCTGCCCGCCCCCCTGACAAGTTTGTCTGAACTTCCAACAAAGGCCCTCAGAGGGTTGCAGAGGGAGGGCCCGGCCTGGAACCTGACACTACTGGCCCAGGATCACCCCAGCAGCCTAGGAGGTGGCTCTGTGGCTCTGCTCACCCTATGGCAGGCAGGAATGTCTCTGAAGGGGACCTGGCCTCACAAGGGCCTGGAGGCTGGGCCAGGGCAGGCTGGGGGGCATCTCCACCTAGGAGCCCCTCACAACAGGGAAGGCAGCACAGGCCAGGGCGTCGGAGGGTGGGTGGGGATATGCATATGTTCTGAGATACACTCAGTCACACACACACTCCCACACGCTGACAATTACACCCACACTCACACACATATCTTCTCTTATACACACAGAACATGCTGACTTCTGCATTGGAACACACGATCTCAGGGTGTCTGTCTATCTGTCTCTCCTACTCATGTACACAACCCCAACACAAGCCCTCAGACACACAGTCTGTCCCCTGGATGCTCAGCATGCCTAGCCCCACCCCCCAGACATGCATTCTTCCCATCTTACTCACCCTCCAGATGGCCGGGCACTCAGATCATGGCACAATTCCCCTCTACGTACGGGCCTCCGTAGCCACACTGCCAGCTTGGTGCCCACAGACACTCAATGACTGCTGCCCTGGGCCTGCTGAAGAAGCTGCCCAAATGCCCACCTGAGAGTCAGGCCCGGCCCTCGCTGCCACTGTCACGCCCATGTCCCCCGATCCACACATCTGTCCTCACATACTGTCCTCCCTCTTGGGGCCCCTTCATGGGCATGTGACCTGTGCAGTTGCACAGGGCTCTGGGCTCAAGCCCCGTAATGTTCTGATGTTGCCATCTTGAAATTCTTAATTTTTATCAGCCGGCCCTGTGTTTTCATTTGCACCGGACTCCACAAATTTTGTATCCGGTCTCGCTCCCTCACACAGTCTCCCTCAGTCTGACTCACCCAGGCCTTCTGTGACATCAGAACCTCAGAGGCTCCAGAAAGCCCTCAGCTTCTCCCACCTTCCCAGATGCCTCCACTTCCTCTTACAGCTGAGGCTTCCCTTCCACGCGTGTCCCCTCACCAGGCAGTGATCGGCCTGGAACAGGGGCAAGGAGTTGTCTGAGGTTAGCATCAGGGATCAATCTGGGGCTGGTCACAGCTGTGTTGGGGGCCAGAGGTGCCAGGGTCAAAGCTTTTTGTGTGGCTAGGATCAGGGATCAGTTGGGGCCAGGAGTAGGACTCAGTCTAGGGCAAGTCACAGCTCAATTAGAGGTCAGAGTTGGGGCTCTGAATGGGGCCAGCGCAGCGCCGAGCTAAGTCTGTGACTGGTGCCAAGTCAGTTTCATTTGTAGCAATCATTCACTGTGGGGGCATTTAATAAGCCGCTGGGCTTCTCTGAACCTCTGTTTTATCATCTGTAACGTGGGGAGATCTGCCTACCCCCAGGCTTGTGGGAACTGAGTGAGCTAATAAAGAAGGTGAAGGATTAAGCCGCTGCCACTGCTGCTCCTGACTCCAAGCCCGGCCCCCTGTGGCTCCCCTGCTGCCAGGCTGGGGAGGCTGTGCCATCCTCACCCTCGTCTCCAGCTGCGAGAAACTGCCACCTCAGCCCGGGATCCTTTCCAAGAGGAGTCTGGAGATTTCGCAAAGCCCTTTGAACAACAAAGGACACAAGAGCGATATTTCCTCCTGGGGGCCGACCGCCCAGTGGCTCCTTTATCTTGGCAACCAGGCTTGAAGAGCCATTCTTGGAAAG